CCATTCCTTGGGATTTTACCTTCACTTTACTTGTGTGCTTATTCTTTCAGTGCAGATGAATTTACAATTTGCAAGACTATGTAGGCAAAGACCGCTGAGCCCACAGATGGTATGTAGGAGAAGATCAACAAATTAACTTCAGATGTAAGCCAAACCTTACGACTTTCTTTCATATGAATAACATTTAATCATGGAAGTTGTCTTGGCAATAGCAGATTCAGGCTGTAAGATTTGAGAGGCCTAATCTCAGTTATCTTGAAATCCTAGGATGCTAAACCAACACTAACAGATTAATCAGTGCTCCTGAAGATCACTCTGAATGTTCTTTGCAGTTAGAACTAAATAATTGATTCTTAAAATTTAATTAACATTGGGAAGCATAAAAAACTAAATTAACATCCGTAAAACTTACTCTCTGAGCATCTCAAGATGCAATTGCTGGATCTATTAATCCATAAACAAAAATGAAAGAATCTTACTCAGTATTTGCAGTGAAAATCTGACTCCACCAAGGCTTCTGGCAAAACTCTGTCACTTGAACAGGGCCAGAATTACAGTCTTGGTGTTTTAATTAGAGGTGGCCCAAAGCCCTGGCTCTGTAAAAAAGCTAAGATCTGAATTAACGTTAAATATCTTGGTAGGATTTCCAATGTCACATCTGCACCACATTTTGTGCCTATACCTGTAACCTGTACCTCAGACATGCAACCAGGTGTAATTTATTTTAATCAACATCTCTCTGCAGATTACTGTGCCTGACTCCCTTAGAGGTTATGGAGCATTGACAAGGGGGTCCCTTGAATCAACCGTTGGACTTTCAGAACTGTCTGTTTGTTGTTTTGCATACCACACCTGTTTTGCACCTCCTCTGTGAACACTTAGTGCTTGCTTTCAGTTGTATGAGGTGTAAAAGGACTTGTGGGTTGCATGCATAACACAAAATAACCCAAACCTTTTTTAATTATATTTTTGTAGCATGAGGTCTTTTAGGGATGTGTTTGTTTTCTCAAGAACATGCTTGACAGGTGGGATTGTTTATGAATTTGAGTCGAAACACTGACAGAGTAACAAGCCTCCTCTGCTGTGTCTCAGAGAAGTTGTGGATGCCCCATCCCTGGAAGTGTTCAAGACGAGGATGGATGGGGCTTTAGGCAACCTGATCTAGCAAAAGATATCCCCGCCCATGGCAGGGGGGCTAGATGATCTTTAAAAGGTCCCTTCCAATTCAAACCATTCTGTGATTGTGTGATTCTATATGTATCTTGTGGGATACGTCCCTGTCATGCTATTCCTGAACTGTCCTTGAATATAATGTGAAATAACAGCAGTCACTAGAGAGGAGCAATGCCTTCCCACTAGGGAAATCACTGGCAATTAAATAGTCTGTACTGTGGCATGCCAGTGTCTCAAGCCCATGGCATGGTCTTGTTTTATTTCTTCAGAAAATTTAAATTGTCTTCATAAAGTGCCAGCTTTTATGATACTGTAACAGGACAGATTAGCAAGGCCCAGGCTAGACTTTCTCATGAAAATTAGAGGAAGACGAATCTGGCCAAGCATCAGGACAGTCACACAAAGTTTGACGAGGGCATCCAGTTTCAGTACTCCTCACTCCTCCCTAGTGAATATTTTATTTATTCACACAAAGCCATGCAGTGTGAACCAGGGAGCTGCTAGGATATTTGGGAAAGGGTACTTGGAGAAGGGGGAACTTGAAAGGGGAAACTTGAATCTGGGTTTAGCCATATCAAAGATCCATGCCATAAACAGTAGCCCTGTTGGTTAACTAGACACGTGGATGTCTTGTTTTTAACCAGACAAGTTTTTACTTTATTTTGGTATAAAATGGAAAAAAAAAATCTTGAAATCCTACGGTAACAATCCTGAGGGCATTTGTTCATTTGCCCTTCTGGAACACCTCTCCCTGTTTTCCCTGCTCCACTTCTGGCTGTGTGCATGTACAGCACGCCATGTACAGAATGGTGTGTGACACACATTAATACATATAGATAGCCTTCTGCTTCTGACCTTACAAACTGTCCACTTCAGCACTGTCATTCTATAAAATGTCCAACTGCAGTCCAAGAAATGCATTTTAAATGTGAATGCAAACATTTCTATTACTGATAACACCAGCGCAGCATTTTTTGCTTTGCTGGGATTAGGACCTTGATAGTTAAAGTTACATTGGAGTAATGACACTCCAAGGTTGTGTCCTTTACTGACATGGCAAAGGAAGGAGAGGTCTTTGCTATGTTTCTGCTGATAAAATTAAGAAGGATTATTCCTTGTGTTTGGTGAGATACGTTAAAAGAATGTATTTGTGACCCATAAATATTTTAGGTCACCAAACCCTGGGAGAAATTTACACGTTGCACTCCATGAAAGTTGTACTTAATTCATGCTGAAAGTCAGTTTTAGAAAAAATTCTGAAATCTGATAATGATGTAAATAAATGCCTCCCTCCCCAGTGAACAGTCATCTTGTCACATGAACAGTAAAGCAGCTTCAGTTCAGCTAGGGATACCTTAAAAAAATGTAAAAGTACTGTGATCTGCAGAGAAAAACTCACAGGCAATTCCAGCTTAGAAGGCTAACTCTCCAAATCACAACCTTTGTCTGAATATGCTCCATTGTGCTTCACTTTCATGCTCTGTAAAATAGGGGTAGTAATCTTTATTGATCTGTCTACCTTTTAAGAATGCATTAAGGAGAACTTAAATGATATCTTTACAGTGTTTCGAACAGTTTTGATATATGCAGCTCTTACAATATAGCTTAGTAGGTGGGCTTGCCATTTTACCAGGTCCTCCCACAGGAGAGCTGTCCTGCTTTTCTTTATTGTTCTCTGGTCTTCCCATCCAAACTTCTTCCAGCTGGGCAAGTTTGGTAAATTGATGATGACTTCAGCACTTACCACATGTTAGCTGAGCTGCCGTAGCTAACCAAGCGCACTCTTTTCTTTCAAAGAGTTGTTTTAGGTTGTCATGTGATATATCACAGTTGAGCCTACCTACACCGTCAGGCTGCGACCACTGAAGGAGCAGTCACTCATTAGGACGCTGTCACTTGATTGAACCATATCTTAGCCTAATAATGGAAGGAAGAGAGTGATCCTCTAACTAGAGCCTCATGCCCCTCCAGCTATGCCTGAGTTAGTTGGATATCATTGTATGATGCTTTCTTGAGTATGGGTTTTCTGGGGTTGTTGTGTATCGCTTCTGGTGGCTTAAATATGCAGAGGTCTTTGCAGATCCCTGCTATTCTTCACAACACAGTTCATGCACGTATCCTTTCTATATCTTTAGCTAGAGATTCAGAGTTGTTCCTCTAGTTTTGCACTCTCAGAAAGTAACTTACTGGTCTGCTCACAAAGCCACTGATGCTTTCACTAAACAGTTATTTTAGAGCTAATTTTACACTGTATTGTATAGTTCCTATTGATATAAATTAATTATTGAAATCAATAGGAATTTTAGGTGCTTCTTTTGGAGACATATTTGCCTTCAAGTTTCATTAGAAACACTTTATCCTTTTTTCATGAGGAAACTAGTCGTATGACTAGTGTTGTCTATCCTTCTCTCCCTCTTTCCATCCATCCATCTCTCCATACATACCTAAGGGCTTTGAAACAGCTGACCAATTTCAACAAAATTTATCAGAAATAAAGAGATCTAAAATGATGATTAAGCTTCCAAGTGGCATGAGACTCAGCAGATAGGCTGAGGAAAGCTGCCCTGTTGCTATCCCCACTGAGGAAAAAGAACGAAAACTCAGCCATGATCCACCTTATTTCTCAGCAAACAAGTAGGTCTACTCTAGTCAACATATGGGATAAGGGACATAGGGCAAATGGGATCATACTGGCGGGGGATCACAGGGACATGCAGTGTGGTGGATGTTGAGGATAAAGAGGAGGAGGCAAGGCTTCTGGAGAGGGAAGACTGGAAGCCTTACAATGGGAGAGATGTTTTCTTTGGGGCTGTGATAAAGAAAGTCAGAGGAGACATGGTGAAGGAGAGACAGATGTGGTTTACTCTTTTTTTTTTTTTTTTACCTTTCCTGTTGCAATAATTCTGTGACTCTAACTTCATTTGTTGTTGTTTGCAAAAAAGAAAAAAAAAAGGTTGGTTTTATTCACAAGTTTAATCAGAAGTTTGTTTCAGATGCTCTAATACTTGTAAAAAGAGTCTTCCAACAGTGTAACTCTCTTCAGCCTAGCAGCTTACCGACTGACAAGTTTTCTCACAGTATCTGTTTGACATCTCATCCTAATATTAGTTTTACAGGCACATTCACAATTTAGGAAATCACTGTATTCTCAAATCTGAGATGTCACAAGTGTCTCCTTTTGCAAGTACTTGCCCCAGAAATGTTAGATAAAACGTTTTATCTAATAGCAGCCCTCCTGTTTTGTTGTACTACTTAGTTGTCATCCAAAAGCAGCTGCATTTTTATGAACATATCTTAATAAGCCATGTCCTGAAAGGCACCAGTATCTCTTTGTCCTCCCTGCGATTGCATGGGAGGAATAGGTCATCATCTAGGGTACTAGGTATCAGTAAATTGAGGAAAATGATGTAAGCACCTCAGTTGACAGTTGATAACGTTGCACAGGTGAGTTGCAGAAAGCAAGACAAACAGACTGATACTTGCATCTATTTCACTCTGCGTTCAAATGAGAGGTGGGAACAAAGCATCATCCAGGGGCCAGAGCCTGGCGCAGCATTTTTTTCATACACTCTCAGCCACAGCAGCTTTGTAGGGGATGACAGTGGACAGTGGTAAAACATACAGGTGATACATGATGCAACAAATGAGTTGGAAAGTCCTCATCGCCTCAGTAAAGGAATGGTTGTTTTCCTACCCTCAGCCTGTCATATCTGTCTCTCTGTGCTTATTTCACCTAAGTTTGAGTTAACACACATAAACCAAGTAATTATGTGTGGCAAGTATATGTGGCATGTGTACATTTTCCCTTTCTATGTCATTTTCTCCAGATTATTGGAACAATCCCACTGATGCCTAATCCAGTCCCCTCCAGCCAGGCGGCAGGTGGAGCTCAGGGACTTCAGGTGCAGCCGATAACTCCACAGTTATTGACCAACGCCCAGGGTCAGATCATCGCTACTGTCATCGGCAACCAGATACTCCCAGTGATCAATACCCAGGGAATAACACTATCGCCGCTCAAACCAGGCCAGCAGGTAAAGTGTCTATAGCTTGAATCATTGTCAATACAGATGCGCAGAAATCTTCTACTCCTCATGGACTCTCTCATGGCCTTTCTAGAAACTCCCAGTTCTTTATCATTTTTAAATACAAAAGATTAATTCTATCATACATAGTATATTAATGTATACTATAGATGTAGTTATAATATAATGTTATATCATTTATTTATACATTCAGGGGTTATCCAGTTATTCTTTTTTTTTTCTTTTAAAGGTCAAGATAGGGCCAACTGAGAAATTTTCTGCAGTGAAAGCACAGTAGGAATATGAAAAGGAAGAGGCCCATCTGGCCGATAAAGTTCAGTTGCTTGGTTAGTGGTCACCCAGTAGACTGGGGTTTGAAATGTTTTGGAACATGCAGAGAAAACAAAAATACAAAAACCTATTAGTCTTCTTCACTGGAAAATCAGATATGATTGTGCATATTTGCATAGACTGAAAGTAGTTAGGGAAATGAGTATTCAGTGTAAGGCACCAGGTAGTTCACAGACTTCAGTATGGGTGCGACAACTTCACCAAGGTCCGAAAAGGTTTCTATAGTTCTTTTTATTTTACTCTAAAGCCAAATTCATTAGTTGTGTCTACATGTATAGAGCAAAGAGTTGTAGTGCCACCATTTTCCACAAAATAGAGGAAATTGAGGATGGAAAAGACATCAAATGTGATTACCAAAAAGGTACTTACAAAAGTGTCACTCACTTAAATGTTCAGTTTAGCATTCCAATTTCTGGTAGTGCTTGGTTTTCTAGTCCTGCCTACACCTCCAGTCACAGGTAGCAGGCTTTTGTACATTTCTGAGAATCCCAGGGCCCCCTGAACTCCAAATTTGTTGTTGTTTTGGGGTGGTTTTTTTCAAATTTAGAAGTAGAGAGCCAATGGATCTCTAAGGTGACTTTTTTATTTGTTTTGAAAATGTTTTGCACCCAAGTGGTTACATACTCTTTTTTTCCATCCTATCCTCTGTGGTCTCTAGCAGAGGAATTTTCCAAAGCACTTGTCATTTATCTATTTTCTTTAATGGGAGCAGACTTATCCTACTGGCAGGTGCTTTTGCAGCTGTTGCATGTACATGGTTTCAAATGAAGTGGGATGGGTGGGAGGGCAGGTTCTGTGTTCTCCAGCACAGGAAAGCCTGACAGTGGAATAAGAAACTCAGCAGTTTCTGTTTGGTTTCCTGGGGGGGATGTTTCTTTTTGAGTCAGTCCCCTGAAGAGATTAGGCCTTTCCCTCCTTTATGGGGGAAGCTCTCAAAAAGGGTAGCGATCCTGAGATCCCATTTGAAACTAATGAAATGTAGAAGTAAAGAGGAGCATAGGGCACCTGTATTATTCCCTGAGACCTCCTCACCTGCAGAGCAGTGCACATTCTGAGTCCTGGAGCAAAGCAACCTCTTCCAGACAACATCCACCAGCAGCACCAGTGGGCAGAGAAGAGACAGAGGTGTGACCTTTCCCTGCACAGCTAGTGGCATTGGGCTCACCTAAAGGGACAAACAGCTGCTGAAGGCTGCAGCTTGCTGAATGAGCAGGCGTTCAAGGTAGAAAGTCACTGTTTAGCCATATCGTGCTATATCATGCTGGTTCCCCCAACCTGCATCCTCATGTGTAACAATCAGCTGGCAGAGATTGTCAATCAGCAGAGCTCTGGTTATGTCCAAGAGCCAAAGGTGTGCCACATACTGTGCTGGTCTGCCCAGCAGTGCTATGTAGGTGGAAAACATAATTTTTCCAAGATCAGTTTCACAGGGTCCAGCCTGTGCCTCTCACACAGAGTCCTGAGGTGCCAGGGATTGCAGGAAGGGCCACCAAACAACACAGAGCCTCCTTACCTACATCTGTTGGAGCCCGATCAAGACAGCATCTTTCATCGGGGGAAAAAAAAGTAGTGCAAATACTAGATGGAAAAATAGTACACACGATCATTTTTATAGGAACCGCAGAAAATTATTTCTATGTATTTGTGCTCCCTCTACTGGCTCTTCGGATTTTACTGCAGGAAGTCACAGGAAATTTTGCCATTGATTTCAGCGGGAGCAGAAAAGAGGTACAAGAGCCAGATTCCTCATAGGAATAATGCTGATGGACAGTCAAAAGCAATTAAGCTAGTATTATACAAACTGCCTTATCATTTGAAAAGTAACTAGAATTACACAAAGTATAAGGAGATCCTGAATTTATCTTATTGCCTGGGTAAAGACTTAGCCAAACTGTAGTGTTTGGCGAATGATAGCATATTTAGTTATAAGTTTAAAACCTTGTTTTCAGAAGAACTGAGTGCTCAAACTCGGAGGGCTCATCAGGAATTCACAATATTTTTGAAAATGGTGTCACACCGCATTTGGTGTCTTGTAACTTGATGAAAGAAGCTTCAGAAGGGGGAAAGAGGAGTACAAGACAAGTTTCAGAGAATTTTTGAGAATGTCATGGAGAAATAAATGAGGAAATAAATAATGTAGTAAAATGTTGCTTATGCTCCTAGTTTAACTTTCAACTTGTCACTTCCTTGGAAACCAAGTACTGCCAGAGAAAGAGAGGTGATTGCAAGTGATGATAATAAGCCGCTGCTTGTTAGCTGCGTCACTATACCTGAACCTGTGTAGCCCGTTCCAGTTGCCAAGTAATGCATGCTAGTGCTTACTTTTTGCCTGAAGGCTGAAGACTTAAATGCCTCAGATACTGTTTTTAGTCAGCTTTACTTAGGTAGACTACATGCGTTATTTATTCAGACAACTTTTTCAAACTTGACAGACTAAAATCTCAACGTCTCCTCATGGAAATAAGTTCGTAGGTTACTTACGTGTAGTGTAAAGCAGTGCTTCCTTTTCTGTGTTGTAAATAGGTTGCTTTTCAATGTACACAAGCAATTCCATTGTAATCCTATTCCTCTTGTTTTTAAGAATAAATAGATGTTTCCGATTTATGTTCTTTAAACCGCCCACAGTAGGGATTGTTCTTTTTTAAGTTACACGGAGTAGTTAAAGCTTCAGCGTTTTCACTATTTTCCAAGATTTTGCTAATCTAAGCATCAGCACCTATGCATACACCAAGAATCCTTCTAGAAATTGTAACAGCTTTTTAAGGCAGGCAGCTGTTTGCACTCCTGTTGTAGTCTGTGTTCTTTTTATCTCTGTGCATAAACAAGTTTTTCTTTGCCTTTAATAATTTTTACTGCCCATCTCCACCATTTCAATTTCCACTCTGAGATTTTGTGATCAGAACTGAATGCCATGATCACAATGAGGATGCATCACTGTTTTACACAATAACATTATAATATTTTCAGCATTATTTTCTGTCTTTATCTCAATACAGCCTAACATCCTGCTTTTTTCTAACTATCTCTGCTCATTGAGCAGGTTTTTCAATAAGCAGATGTAACCACCATGATACATCTTTGCTTCCCTGATTGTTACCATGTGAGTCACTAAAATGGTTCCTTTTAACGTGAATCACTTTGCACCTATCTACTCTGTATTTCATCTGTCATAATGCTCCCCTGGCATGTTGTAAATAGGATCCGTAAGTTGTTCATGGTATTCTGTACCAACTTAAGTAATTCACATGTTCCTCCTGCTGATTCAACCATTGTTCACCATTTTTTCTTGCGGCTTGCTAAAACCATTAAAAAAAATGTGGTATAAATCCTTTAATCTCTACTTGTAGTCCCCTTTCTTAAAAAAGGACAATTTATTCCCTAATTTTATGTTTCTTGCTTTTTTAAGCTCTTTATATCTCATAATAGAAGAGTACCTTGTAACCTTAACTTCTGCACTTCCTCCATGCCTCTCAGGAGGGATTTTGCCAAAATCCAGGTTGTATGGCTAAATGCACTTGTTTTTCAAGAACAGCTGAGCTTGTTAGCATTGTTATTTGCTATCAGATTTGAAAACCTTGGTTTAAGGTGTTCTTTCATATCTTTAACAACACTGGTTAACACCAACACAACTGACAGAAGAACTTGAACCATGAATTGGAGTCTTATGAAATTTAGGAAAAGATTCACCTTGCTTAACTTAGTCATAGAGCAGGTAGGTATCTGGTGGAAGCTAATTGGCTAGATTTCCTGTAGACAGAGACACATAAACAAGGAGACATATGCATGTACAAAGGGCAACTCAGCCTGTCAGAACAGCATAATTTTTAGATAGATTGAATCTTTAATGGGTATCTTAAGGTATCGTCTCCATTGATGTGAGAGGGAGTTATTTTAGGATAGACAATTAATTCTTATATGAGTGAAATTAGGTAAGAAGAATCCAGCTGCCAGTGATCACTGGGGTTCAAAACACACTCTTGTTTATTAATTCCTTAAACAGCTTTCCTAATAATTGGTGTTTTCATAACTATTTTCTTGCCCACAGCACACAGAAGCAACTTCTACACATTATATTGTTCTCCAGTGCAACTCATCATCAGGTTCCCTTCTTGCTGTTGTCTGGCTCTTTCCTTCTACATACTAGATTCATTAAATCAGTCCTGTAGTCTCGGTTGTCCTCAGTCTTGTTTTATCTACACTGCCTGCCAGAACTTTTCATATTTCATCGTGTCTTATAGCACTACCAGCTTTGGGCTTCTGCCAACTCTAACACAATAAAACAAGCTCCTAGGCAGCATTTTCTTACATAGTCAGTTCCCCATCTTCATTGACATTGGCTATCACATTCCAGATAAACTGTTGAAAAGACATAGGCAGCTCTCAGATGGGTCTATGGTCATTCTTGTAGATCTGCTTTCCAAATTTCATGCCAGGCATTTTCTTTCTGCAGTCTCAGCCTCCCACATACAATCCCTTGTTTTCCTCTCCTGTTAAAATCTAACCAGCTCTCAATCATTTTCTTCCTGCAATGCTCTTATTGCTTTGATGCTGTCTTGTTTTGAGAAGTGCAATCTTCTTTCTCTGTGTTTGAATATAGCCACTAAGCTGTGTTGTCTCAATCCAACTTTGTTTCTCTTTTGCTTTTTATATGACTTGCA